CACTTGGAGGCAAAGCCCACGATGCTGAAGATTGGCATATTGTGGTTCCATTGACGCGATAATTCATACAACTGATGAAAATTGAGTAATTTTCTTAACATGGTCTTGGGCTATCGAATGTACAGTATCGTCGGCTAAAGCCGAGTCTTGCATTCCAACGGCGGGCTTGAGGCTCTTGTCATGTAGTTGTACGGGCTTTGATTCGAGCCTTGACATCTGGGTAGAGACCGGTCCATGTTTTCTACCCGCCATTCCACCAATGACCACAAACAACTATGGAGCAGTTTGAATTATCAATCAAATCAGCCAAGTTGCGGCCCCCATCGCAAGATCAGTCAATAACATTTGATTCCAAACATTTTAGCAGGTTCACCTGACTCTCAGCCGCTGCGGATAAATCCTGCCGATGACTAGTGTACACCCTTAGCCTTTAGAGTCCCCGCACTTGCAAGTCTTCGACGGCTTCCCCGGCCGAGCAGCGGATAATATCCACCGATTTTACTGAGCAATCTAACCTGCTCGTACCGCAGTGGTCCCGTCAGTGGTCCGTCCATAAGAACGGTTTGATCATATCACTCTAGGCTAGTGTGCTAAAGAGACTTGCAGACCCTGATCCCCTTGATGACCTCGCCAACTTTCATGATGAAACGGTTGTCAGAAGTCAAGTCTCTTGGTGCTTAGCCCGTGCATCTTTCCGCACGAGGGGACGGATTTAGCGGGCTTAGCGGAGACTAAATGAGCCGTGGCCTAGAGCATGAGCCTGTGAAACTGCAGAAGAATACTGCAGAAACAATGCGAAAGCGCATGAGAATGCGTAAAAATAGTCCTCGAAATAGTAAATTTATCAAGTCTTGCATTATTGTCATTTTCCCACGGTAGCTACCTAGTATGAAGACGACTAGGTATATAGTTTCCCGGTTTCGACCAGTAGTAGGGCAGTAATATATGGTTATGTTGGTTGGGTGGGGAATAATGGCAGGGATCATGGCACGCCTGATCCTTGGACTGGAGTCTCGCGCTCAACTACTCGCTGCTCGGTCGTTTGGTGGAATGTGAAGACCTAAATTGAGACTTTAGGCGGCATATTTTACTTTGTGGTGGGGTTGCAAAAAGGGAACCGAGGAGCAGAATTGGAAGGACACTGGTCTACCCACGAGTTTCAGACAACAAACTCATCTCGAAGGCTGGAAATCATTAAGCCTGCAGATGCACGAGCGGATTATGGGTATTACAAAAAGGAGATCATAATGATTCATGACTGGCGGGGCTGGTCAGATTCACAACCAAGTCAGTTTCGTCCTCCACCGCCTTGGGAGTGGGCTTCTAGATGCTGGGTGGAAGGGCCAGCTGACAAGTCCAGCTCATCTCCCTACAATGAGTGGTTCAGACCCCTGCCAGGTGAGATTGGACCCTGTAAACCGGCAAGGATCTTCGTAGCCACCAGCGGTGAGATGAAGATTCAAAATCACTGCTCAATGGCTAGGATAGAAGAAAAATTGTACTCCTTGCGTTACAAAGACAGTACGATCTTGGCTAAGGAAAACAGGGAGAAACAGCAGCCTTTAGGGCTCCAAATTGAGTATTAGTTGTACATAGGTGCATGGAATTGTCAAGGGGCTCGGCAATCAAAAAACATGATTGGCAGCTGCTGAAAACACATCCTGCTGAATTAGTAAATTTAAACAACGCTAAAAAATAGAACCAATGAGCTATGGTTATACTACCTTGTCTCAGCCCTACAGGTGGGGCTTCAGGAATACACTTTGCGGGCACCTTGCGGTCTAGCGGACGAGCTAGTCCAGTATTGAAGGTTTAGGCGAGTCTAACTGTTAAGAAAATAGCCAAGAAATTGATAAGACATTATCTAATTCCTTGGATCATTAATGGAATGACAAGATTGGCCCACTCCTCCGAGTCATGCTGGGAATATTATACGCGAGCTGAAGATCTTTTTGCCTTAGGAATAAAACTACGCAATTGATATTGATATGCAGTAATTTTCGTCTATCAAAAACTTATGGATTTGTTTTGAAGAAAAATATACGATAAATAAATAATTAGAAGTGTAGAGATAAGCGATCAATCTGAGGGATGATCCTGATGGAGGGCAGATACTAAACTGGCAGTCGTCCTGTCAAGTTGCTCGTTCCTTTATGAGCCTATCTTGCACGAGCTGAACAGAATGTTAGAAAGATCAGCCGGAGCCATGTGGCTTGCAAGGCTGTTTGCCTGTAATACAGTGATTTGAGAGCTGAATGTATAAGGGAATGTCAGATGATTAAGTCACCGCCTCTACACTGCGCCTTCATTCCAGAAGATGTTTCCTCTTTGATTTCTTGTTTCCGGACCATACAGTAAGGATTAACAGAGGGCCAAAGGTCCTTCAGTTGGCTAATTTTACTCTGTAGCTCACCCCATATTTCCCATATCCCAAAAGGACATTGCAAGAAAACCAAATTCTCACAATCATGGAAAACAACCCATACGCCATACCCGTCTTTACCCACCTGGCTGGAGAAAGGGTGAGATCCTTATCCTTAGCTTTGTTGCCAAGATCTAGGGGTTACAACGTGGCAGAAGTCGAGACCGTGCGTCAGCTGTAATTTTTTACTCTGTAATCTGGATCACTCTATCTTCACAGATTTGGATTCTTTCCAAGGCCTTTTTAGCTCAGGCCTCGCTTGCACAAGGGTGCAAGGGGCCTCTTGAATGTAAGAGCAGTCCATAAACGGAAATTGGTCTAGACGGCGCGACAGGCTGCCTTCCACTGGCTACTCGCGCAAATAGGTATCCACAGCGCGCTCTCAAATCAGTCTAGACAACATGAGTGAATTAGTAGAGGCTCCAAGCCTCCAAGGCCCAAACATTAAATGATTTGGACATGCGGCTAGAACGGAAATAGTGGGATTGATGGCCCAACTACTCCGTCCGAACATTCCCTTCGAAATTGGGGGCTATATTGGAGCGTTAATCAGATTCGCCTAATGTATGTATTTCACGTAAAATTAGAACTCGGTTCTGACAAGCACGTGGCGGTATGGTTGATTAATGACTCGGAGCCCGTCATGTACCTTTGACGCTTCCACGGAGTGGTGCAGTGCAAACCGCCCGATACCATTTTTGACAGGGGAAAGAAGTTATTTTAATCGCCTTGAGGCATAGGGAACATTTCTATACACATACGGCTCCCCGCGCCCCTGAAATAGAACGTACTCTGAGCCGAATGACACCTAGACATATCTGAGACTGGAGAAAACGGAATAAAACTTCATGATTTATAGAGCAAGTGTTATTAAATTGGATTGATTAGGGAGGGTCACGAATATTGGGAACTTTCATAAAGATAACAAATACCATTCAGTAATATCCATCTGTGCAGCAATACCTCTAATAATACTATGCTTGTCGGAATACCGTCATCTACTCTATCCAGTCACGATCCATTCCTGTATGTTGACTCCATTCAGGCCCCCCCAACGGCAAGCCACCCAACATGTTTCCAAGGTCGCTTGTTTCACATTCGATGAGCACTATGGGACACCTATCCAATTTCGTAACTCAAAATAAAGTAGAATGAATGCCACGGGGGCTGTTGTAAAGGAGCCTTTAGTTATTATTTCAGAGAAGCCAAATGAGTAGGTTTTATCAAAGCCATATGGGAGAATCTATCAAAGTCCACCGGTACACTGCTTCTCCATCCAGCTATACTCTAGCAACATTCTTATCAATCTCATGACTTCCATGGTTTCCGTCCAAACAATACCCATCTTTTTGATAGTCATTGATCACAGCTTGTAAGAATGAGGGGTACAAAATAGATAAGAGATAAACCGTCGTCGGGGCATGTTCTGGGTTAGTTTTTGCGAACTGCATGGCATGGTATCATGGTTTTGATTGGTATTGTGCATCTGCAGCCCGGGAAAGGAGCAACATCTCCAGGTTAAGTAATCATAATGCGCCATGCTTCTTCTATTTCTGAACTACTCCAGAAAGAATGTTGCAGAACGCATTACTGTGAATTAAATTAAAATTTTGAGCCCCTGATGTAGACACTCAGCATGGTCTGGATATGGAGTACCTACAGTAGTGATTCATACCTCTGTTGGAATGTGGATTGATTGTGATACCTTGAACCACATGGCCATGATTAGTGCTCTCTATATCATGCCTGGGCTTGGTTATTGGGGATTAAACTAAAGTAGACTGTGGTAGCCTTGGGGGAGGTGGGGGGCGGTAATTCAAAGACTCAGTTAGCACTGCCTGATGTTGTCCTTCCTCCACGCTCCATGTCCATCCCTCCATTCAGAAGTGTTTTTACCCATTCTTCCTAGTCGGCAATCGGCCTGATCTCTAAAACAGCCTCACACACTTGACATTCCTTCAGCCCAGCTGGCCGACCAGGTCCACTAGCCGTGACGCAGCCCTGCACATCTATTCTTCCATTCAAGGAGGGTTCCTAACCAACAACACATGGTTCCAGATCCATGCCATGACCCCCCTAGAAGACTAGCGGGTATTTCCATTTTCCACCGTCCCATAAAAATAATAATCAATGAAAGGAAAATAAAATAAAATCAATAAACATATTACTCAACAATTGAAAATCATTTTTTTAATAAAGAAAATTAATTCTCGGAGCTCGGACTTGAGCTGTTATCTACGATTTGATTCATCATCATGGATTGGTTTCAGTCCGGATACAATGGCGGCTTAGCAGCCCATAGCTAGACGCCTGATTCTCCAGCTGATCGACCTTAGGCTTAGACTTCTTTTAAATACTCTGATGCTTCCTGTTCCTTCAGATGGATCCTCTCTGTTGATTCTCAGTTACCAGTTGTGAACTTTATCATTAGCCTACATTCTACTTCGTATAGAGCACTCAAACCCTCCTAGGTTCTCTGCTCTGCCTGAGCTTCGCTTAATCTTCCAAACCATTCTGACTTTATACTTCCTGCCATCTATACTTGCTACTGCCTTTCCCCCTATCCTTCCCTCACAAGATGCATCGTTCTACGAACAACTCGTACCATCAGTCTTCGAGCTCCCGAAGCTCATCATCCCACGGCTCCAGCAGTGCATTCAGTCCCAATGCCAACCCTAATGAGGACTGGACAAAGATCTCAGATCTTGCTGAACGTCGACGGATACAGAATCGCATTGCTCAGAGAAACTACCGTAAGTAGCTTATTTACCGGCTGGCGCTGAAAATGTGTTCTGACAATCTCCGGATGCAACAGGCAAGAAACTGAAGCGTCGCTTGGAGGACCTGGAAAAGAGGGCTGCTTCAGCTTCAGTGTCCCCAGAACGATCCCACGAGAAACCGGAGTTGCCGAAGCATGCGAATCCTGTGAAATCTCGCACCAGGAACAACCGCTCGTCCAAGCCAAACTCGGACACCAGTCACAGCTCTAGGGAACGCCTTCCCCCATACGACTGCTACAATAGCCAAGACGACCGGGGTACCATGTTCTCTCACCAATGCACACGGCAACTGTCAGCGTCACCCCCACCTGTTTTCTCATACCCCTCGTATCCGCATCTGGACCCATACAGACAGCCCAACTATGGCACCTCTCCCGCATACAGTTCGACTTACAGTGACTTGTCGTCCTTCCAAGGGGAGTATGGAACCCCAGTGCCTTCGATCATGCCCGTTGCGATGTCTGCAGGCGGGCCACTGAAGAGACCACATACCTATGCGGACGAAGAGATTATCAGTCCCTTCAGTATGAGCTACGCGACTATGGCTGGCATTGACTTGTGTCCGACTTCTCACCATCCGGGTGAATCTAATATTTCTGTATGTAACCTATCTTCTGGCCTGCGTGGATGCCATTCAAGCAAAGAGCGAGTAAGAAAGCTGACTTATTGTTCATTAGATCCCGTCTCTCTGTCAAATATTTGCTGAGGATCATTCCTCTCCGTCGACACCCGCAGAGACGTCCATTCTCACGTGTCCTCTCACACCCGAGTCGGACCCGTGCTCCCCGCATTCGTTTCCCTTTCTGTGATTGAGCTGTTGTCGCTTATTTGGGTTGTTGAACTACCAAATTTCCTTTTAATGATGTTACGATTCGATTCGCTGGGCCGCATGGGAGTTAAGAACTTTTGGATGTTGCTCTCCGCGGCGATCTTGGCTTTTTTCTTTCCTCACTCATTCTGGACTGATAGTCGTTTACGGGCTGAGTAGTTCTACTCAGAGAACATCTCCATTCATATGACGGTTTCTGGGCTTTCGGATGCCCATGTGTGATGCATGACTCGGGGCGTTCAATGTTTTACATTAAGAGACGGACCTTCATCTTAGGAGTTGGAATGGGAATTGGCAGCAATGCTGGGTTGATTCTCACTTTTTTTTGGTCCATCCACTTTTTGCTCGTTCCGTCTTTCGGTTCCGCTTGGATTCCTTAGAATAGCAGATGAATTTGTTACCAAACAATTGGCCTTTACTCAAATCATCATGAAAATCAGTACTACACGGCTGCGGAGGAACGGCGGGTTGATGCTCCGACTCCAGGACTGTGGGACGTATGGTAAATCGGGCATCTTGGATGTATTAGCCCGTATTGGTTTTTTTGGCCCCCAAATCTCCACAAAGTGCACCTACCATACTCTGAATCGGTTAGAGGCATTCCTTGGGCTTTTTCGACTGGAGTGCGAGGATGCTATTACCATGTGCCATACGTCTCGAACTTGAGATAGATATTCTCTCTACGGAGTACTCTGTATCACTGAACGTGCGCAATTCTTTGGCTACATTTCTGGTTGCCTGCTCCAAAGGATCAAGGGCCCAATCAATAAATAACATACACTATAATCACAGGAACAACGGCTGTATTTGGCTGGATCGGAGCGGGTTTCCGGACGATGTCGATGCTGTGCTTCTACGGAATAGTCCGCAAGTGCGTATTCAAATTGCCAGGCAAGAATACGACAGTCCATCCGACGCAATCCGTCCGACACCTGATAGGGAAGACCGACGACTCAGTAGTTACGGTCCACTGCAGCTTTCCAGTGTCGGGGCCAGAGAAAATGATTGGCTTCGCGCTAGAAATTGCGTTGATTCGTTCCCGCTGTCCCTCCTTGCAAGTTGCCATGGGATAGAAGCGATTCTTAATCCGTACCATTATTATTTCTTCGAAATTGACTCGCGACCAGCTGCCACGGGCCAGTTGCTGGTTTATTCTCAGTGGGGCTCTGCGCAAGTATGTACTAAGTATGAACCATCTAACATGCTGCGCCTCCACAGCTCCAGCCTGATGTGGTACAGTGCATTGGTCAAGGAGACACGGACCACTGGCAAGGAATCAAGCGAATTCGGGGGGCCTTGGACGTCCTGGTCTTTTGCTTTGAACTGTGATCAGTGGACCTCGTGCTACATCCATGGATAGCAGGTGGACGATGTCCTGCTCCCTTTTCGTGTAAGACAGGGAGACTGGAGCAATTCAGACAGTCTCAGCAAGATTGAACTCAAGTGATGATTGACAAGTGACGACTAAGTGCCCGCTGCTGGAGCCATCCCTATCCTACTGCAGAATTACTCATCAATCGAAAATGCGTTTTGATTGATAATCTCATCAAGGCAGGATGGGGATCATTATTCCTCCTGTCGGTCTTGCACGCTTGATGAGGCTAGCAATTCTACAGCGTGGTTAATTCTTATCTCGACCTGTCAGCGCATATGCAGATGCCTCCGCGCAGAAATGGAACCACATGAGAAGAACAAAGATTTCTAATACCTTTCGTCTAATTGTCGATTCTGGTTCTGCCCTTCGCAAGAGCAGTATTGGGCGCAAAAGACTCAAATTTACACTCCTTGGTCCCCAGCCATCAAATCGGTTTCGATCTCGCCTAGGCTGCAACCTTGGCTGAGCCATAGTGGAAGCTCCGGAACGAAAATACCATTTACCGTTTCGAGTCATTCCTGGGCTTTGAGACATGGTAGTACATCCATCAGGCGCAGACCAACCAAAGTGTGTCAAGACTGTTTAGTCTGTTAGATACGAGCTCGCTTCTGGTTGTCTCCTCCAACTCGGCTATGAGCATAATGTTTTCTCAAACGGAGTTGTCCGTCGACGCCGGAGAGTGGACACACAAAACGAAGATCCTTTGATACTTGCCGTTTGATTGACCAACGTTTGACTGGGCTTGGTTCTCCGTCGGGTCTTCAGCCTTACACTGTATGTCTGTGCGGATCATGCGGGTGAAAGTGACCAGCAGGCAATCAGTAGAAGTAAATCGTCAGCAGTCAGCACATAGCCCCCTGATTTAGCCGTCTGTCCATGAGAGCCTGACTATTCCTCGATGTCGAATTTAGACATCCAGCTTACGATTTAAGCTCACAAAACTGAATGCTGACGATCCGTTCTAGCGGTTTTTCTATTGTTTTTCTTTTTTCTCCCTTTGGATCTATCTAATTGGATCCGATTGCTGGCGTCGGGCTGAACAAACGGCCGATTCAAATCCCGGGGCTCCATCGAAGCCGCGATTGATAGATCCCGTACCATGCTATGAGACCCTTCCAGCCCTCCACAATCAAAAGGAAAAAAGGCAAAAAAGGCAAAAAAAGGCAAAGGGCAAATTAAAAATAAACTGATTAAAACACAGTGTCATGATGCGATAAAAGGGCGTGTTACATTGTTGTCATTCAGCACGGTTACATGGGGAGCTCAGCCAATCGTCTCAGGTAGCGAGACCCCACACATCTGGGCTCGTATAGAGTAACCAGTAGAGAGATTGAATTCTCCGTATTGGCTTCAAGGCCCTGTACTCTCAGTGAAACAATTGCCAGGCAGCAGATCATCTGGATATTTTATTGTCATTGTGTAACCCAAAGCGGCTCTGAGGAACCTCGTCCATTCGGCAAACCCCCTCCTAGGCCATAAGGGTTAGGATTAGAAATTACGGAGTAGGTACCTGTAGGGAACAACTTCCAAGAGACTCGGTTATGCGGAGACAGATCGCAACAAAATGTGAACAAATAGAGGGGTATGCAAACAAAGAAACCCAACTCAAATCACAGTGTCACAATCACGCCAGCGACCTAGATTGGCCCTGGCACGCTTGTGCTCCAACCTTGATCAAGTCTTAGTCGGAGCCCACTGGTACCGACGGCGAAAGCCGAGCGAGCCCCACCCCTTGCATAGTGGAAATATGCAGCAGGATGCAAATAGATTGTCCCTGTCACTTGGGCGTTTGTTCACTGCTCGACCCGATGATTGATAATTGCCCTCGCGCAGATGATTATTGGCACGGCGACAGTGACAGTGACAGCGACATGCGAATAGGAAATGCTTCTCAAGGAATGATGTTGGAACTGAGTCATCTGATGGGTATCTATCTGCATTGATTTCAAATGATGACCAAGCATTATCCCATGAGGTAGTTATCTTCCTTCACCTTGGATATTGCTCCATGCTGCGGATAAGGTAGATGGTTCAATGTCGTCTGAGTGATCGCTGAAGATTACGACGCGCTCAAACGCCCCATCGCAGCCAACAATTCACTGACGGGTGCCCATTATTACCGCAGCAGGCGTAACCGACTCCACGAGGGGAGCTGGTGCATGGCTAAATAGAGGGCTTACACGTTCTTATTTGAATTGGTCCATCAGTTTCATACTGTGACACCTGTATGAGACTTGGGGTTGGAATGTAGTCCATACCAGCTCGCGCAGAGATTAGTGCAAATATACATTGCAACATTCGAGGATCGCGGCCTTGTAAGATCTCATGGTCGATGCTACAAGATGGGCCAGACTTTATAATAAAGTAGGACAACTCCATATGATTTTCCTTTTGTACTGTACTTGAATTTGATAGGCTGTATGTCATGAACACAAAGAAAATAAAAGTCAACGACGCCTTGATGCAGGTCAAAAAGATCAGAGAAACAAAGCCTTATGTTCCCCCAGCATTAGAGAGGTCATTCGCATGAGCAGATGAGGTTTCTTGAGGTAACCTCGGCACGCGCACACACACACACACAAAAACATCAGTAGATATGAACCAACCTGGTGAGAAAAGCAGATAATGATAGTGGAACGAAAAAGAAAAGCCTTAAGCGATACAGTCCCTATCCACATCACAATGACAAAACCCCAACCATCGGTATCACAGCTCGACCAAATCGTACCCCCTTTACTCCCGCAGGGTCTCTCAGCCTTCCGCTCCGTTGATGCTCATCTGATCGGGGTTAAGCCGCCGTCTCCGCATGGGCGCTTTCTTCCTAGCTGCGATTGCGGCTGCATTCTGGGCTTCAATGTTCAGCTCGGTATCGTTCGCAGAACCGTGGATGGCCTCGTACTGCGCCAACTCGTCCAACTCCCGGATATCGGTCGGCTTCATCCGCAGCCACTTCATGCGCGGACCAACTCTGGATCGCTCTGAGACGCGAAATCCGTAAATCTTCGATTCGTAAATTCTACCTGGTCCCAGGCCGGGGCAGAAGTTGACGGTTCGCACCCCATTGATCTCCGTTGGCTGGTTCGGCGGAGGCAGATCGGGGGTCGCGCGGTTGGCCCCAGACGTCAAAGACGAGGATCGAGATTGATTGTTTGCATTCGCAGGGGCAACGGTTAACATGGAGGGATCCAGGCGGGGCCCAATGTCCAGGTCGGGGAAGGTCATGAAGAAAAGGTATCCGAATGTGGTCCCAAAGAAGGCCCCATCAACCGAGTGAAAACGACTGTTGGGAGGAGTGTACAGATCCTGGCAGCTGGGGCAAAACAGCTTCACCGTCTCTTGTCCAGGAGTGTCGGAGCAGCCCACGGGTAGGACCTTGCTTCCATTGCAGTAGGCGCGCGGACAGACACCGAAGTGCTGCATTTCGTACTTCTCCAGCATCTGCTGGATTCCCGGCCGCGAAGTGATGTAGCGCTGGTGGATGAGGCCGTAGAGCAGTTCCGCAGAACTTTCGATCACACTCAAGTCGCTGGCCACCCGCGCATGTCTCCGGTCCCCAGCTCTGCGGTAGCCCGGGGGTCGCTCATCACCGAGAATCTCGTCATCATCCTCCTCCTCTTCCTCTTCTTCCTCCTCCTCGTCTTCGTCCTCCTCCGGTTCCACATCCAGAATCATCTCGAGCGCTTCCTTGTACATGGGCACCTGCGACTGCAGACCTGTAAGATTGAAGTCATCTTCGATAAAGTCCTCCGACACCTCTGCGAAGAATTCATGGCCCATCAGCGAACAGAAAGAGGAGATCCATGACTCCGGCGCCCCTTCCGAAGACGACATATCGAACGAGCCGGACTCGGATGACGACGAGGCTGACGATTCAGACAGTTGACTCAGATCCAGCCTGTTCAGGCCGTCGGCCAACGCCGAACCTATCTCTCTCGACACGTTGCCGAGTAGCGAAACGGAAAACGATGGATCGAACGAAGATGGAAGCTCTTCGCTTGGATTTCTTCGACCCTGGTCGATCGGGCAGAGACCTCAGCCCAATTGTCTCGGATGATCGAGGTCGAAAGAGGCGTAAAATCCAACGCGGACCGTAGGTCGGTCTGGCTTTGGTTGGGGAAATAAAATCGGGTCTATCGTCTACCTGATAATTGGAGGGGTCATCCCAATGTGCGGGACGGCGAATCGTTGTGCGATGAGGAAGTGTTGACGCGATGGCGCTTGAAGGTGGAATTTCCCCACTAACACTACCGTACTGCTCTCAAACAGAGATCGAGGTCCTCCGCTCAGTTCTGGGGTATAATTCTAGCAAAATTCACTCGTAGTGAGGGACCAACGCAATCGATTGTAGAGCGTAAACACCAGACCTCCCTGGTCTCTTTCGTTGTGGTGGTGCAGTGGTCGATCGACGGCGTCGAGGGGTCCCAAGTTTAGGTTCGTGGGGCGGTAGGAAAAAACGTCGCTATCTCTGCGATGACCAAGAGGACCTGACCGCTGTCGCGAGATGGAAATGTGTAAATAGTGGCTTTCTTGGATGCGAGAGAGAATGATGTGGTCACAACATTGTGAATAACACTGATGTTAAACCAATGTCCCTGATGACTGGCAGTGTGGTGCTGGTCCTGCGTAGAACGTTCATGTGGCTGGACTCATTCTAGTCACGTGCACAATTCAGTCCCAGACAGACTGGTTTGCCCGGCACGCCTACATCTATAGTGAATTCATCTGGAAAGCGAGCTAATTGAATCCAAGTCATTGAATTCGCATCACAAATTTCCTGCTTGTCGTCACGGTAGCCTCTGGCTGATATATACATGATGCATGCCGCGTAATACTGGTAAGAAATCAAAAGAGCTCCCTGATGACCCGGGAGAGCTCTCCATCATCGCCGAAAATGCCTGAAAGTCCCTCGCCCGTGTTTTGAAGCTCGCCATCATGACTCACAAACCCGGATATACCTTCGGGTGCTGTACCAGATGCAACGAAGCTGCTAAACCCTCCAACAGCCTCGAAGAGGTTGGTGAGCTCTTGACTCATCTGCAGTCCGTTCAAAGGACTGTTTCCCAGTTCATTGACCCCATTCATCGGTCCATAGATGGCCAGGTTCTCGATTGAATGGCCCGCCAGGCCCGCCATGGCGACAGCAGCCGTTGAATGGGGGTCATTCGAGTCCGAGCCGAACGGGCGCGCCAGCACGCCCAGCCGTTCCCCAATCATTCTCAGCCCCTTGATCGTCTTCCAGAGCCGTTTTGATACGTAAGATTTTGTACTAAATCCGTTGATCAGATCGAGTGCCATGTAGAACTCGTCCCGCACCTGTCGGTTGAATTCGTTTGGCGCGTGACATACGGCCAGAAAGAGCACCGCGAGAGCGGCAACAAGGAAGTAGTTGAAAGTGATTTGTTGAGTGCGATAGATGTCAGACGTATGGTTAAGTTGTGTGAGCACTCGAACTGTATCTTTGGCAACATCCACCACAGTTTGAGCATGACCTTTGTCTTCGGCGATACTCGCAGAAGAATGTAGGACAGGCCGATAAATGAGAATCCGAAGCTGATTCATGCGCAAGTACAGCAGCACCCGTAGTCGCCGCAAACCCCGGCTGGCCGTCTCGCCATGCTTCGGAGAGTCCCCAGGGTAAAATTTCAACGCATCGGGAACCTGCTTGTACCACTGGAGAACTTGGTAGTCAAGATACCCGATCTCATCTCTGCGTATGTCTGTTGTACCCTCAGAGCCGAGTCCAGAATACCATATCTTTGAGCTTATACGATTATAAGAGATCATACATCTCAAGTAAGGCAATGATGCGTCCTAGACCTGTTAGTCAGACATGGATTACGCGTGTCGTTCCCGGCTTTTAACTTACAGGCTCGGGGAGGTTGGGGTCGACATCCTCATCTTGAATGACAAAGGGTAGCCCAGTACCAAGACTCCAGCGTCTATCCAAACTGTAGATCGACCAGAAGATCTTGGTGACGTCAGCCCATTGATCCTCGTTTGGAAAGGATTTCATCAACGCCTCCCGTCGGTGCAGACCCAGTTCAAGGCACATACGTGCAGCGAATCCTATCACTCGGTAGGCCATCGCATCGTCATCCGTGTGAAAATGGTAAGTTGCCTGTCAGGACATTTAGCCAGGGTCTGGGGTCAGATATCATCAGAACGACAATACATACCACCATGCCAAAGAGCTGGATGGTCTTGATGTCGATCGGTCCCCAAAGCTTAGCCTCAATGACTGGCTTGACGCTCAAGAACAGACGTTGGCCCAGATCACTTCGCCCGCTCCCCTCCACAATCAACGTTATGGCGAGAATCATCTTGAGGATAATTGTATTATCATCATGGAGGGAATCTGAGCCCGGGAATGCTCGCTGCGCGAAGCCAGTTCGCATTGCAGCCTCCATGAAAGTATAGAGGAGGTTGACTTGATTGATCACCTTCTCAATATCCACAAGCGGATACATAATACCGACTTCTTCCTCATAAACATGACATAATCGTAGAGCCTCTTCCCGTTTGATTGCCCATATCGGATCTTTGGTCGGATGTATGGGCTGTGTGAATACAGCCTGCTGAGCGGGCGGCGATGCGGCCGGCGTGACTTGGGCCGTTGTCAGATCGTCATTCATGACTTCTTCGGCGGGTGCAATGCCCATGTTCTGAAGACTGGATCTGGCGACATCGAAATTGAAGGCGGAGCTAGTGGGGCCATGAAACCGTAGATGTCTTACGCGAGGTCTGACGGTAGCCGGGTGCATCGGCGTAAAGACCGGCTGTGAGCCATCCCGAGAGATGTCCTCCAGATTCGGCGAGGCCAAAGATGATCTTTGACTGCGAAGATCGTTCAGACTACTGAAGAGACTGTTCACCTGTTCCTGCAGAGTTGTGATCTGGTCTGTCATCGAACGGAACTCCCTGTCCCGTACCATCAATCGTCAGTCGCCGTACTGAGAGCAAAGTAGCAAATAAATGCAGGGAGATGGAACATACTCGGAATCTTTGAAGTTATTGTTACAGCAATTGGGGGCGTATCGGCCTATCGCACGGTCATTTCCTCTGCCGTTCAGAACTCAAATTCCATATAATTGGAATAGTGATGGGAACCACTGCTTAAGGGCATAGTACTGACACTCGAGTTTCAGATGGCCGCAGCGCTGGCATGGCACTTGACCGTTGCACTTGATCTTGCGTCGCTTACATTCATTGCTATAGCGAGGACCAACGTTAGTCAAACCGTACTTAGTCCCATGGTTGTATCACAACTATGACGATAATGGTCATGAATTTACAGCAATCCACAGAAGCAAACAAGGGGTAGATTCGGAGTTTTGCTCCGCTGGGATCATACCAGGCGATTGAGATGTAGCGATTCCGCTTTGTGCGCGTGTGAGTTCCGTTGCTCTGTTCCGCTTTTCTCTTTGCGCTGTCCTCAGCCGGGGAGGCATTTTGGTCTGCTTTTCCCGCCTGAGGGGTAGCAATATCAATCTGGGACGACTCGGAAGCCATGTCAGATGCGGTCAGTATGGCCTGATCGCGTTGTTGTGCGCAGGATAAAGCAGTGAAGAGTGCGGAGAGATTCCTTCCATGCACCCGCTGGGTCTGAATAACCGCGCGGGGTTTCCGTTTCCCCAGAGTCTGCTAAGAACCAATCAGCGCAGACCCGGAGTAACATAGCACATCTCGCGATTACGATAGGTAGAGAGAATAGAATAGATTTTTTTTATGACAGCCATAAACATATCTTTAAAATTCAAATGATCACCAAGCGCTGGTTCAGTAAATCATCTAATGCCAAAATCAATCACAAGAGTATTTGATGAGCGCGAAGCAACCCCTCCCGAATAGCTGAAACTACTCTAGTTCGGGCTCCAATAAAAAATTCGACCAGCCGTTGAGTATCTTTAGGATGTATCTTGAGCCAGAAGAGACTGGAAATGATTGCCACGAGCGTAAATCTCCTCAGCACGGTCTTCACCCTCTGAAGCATGAGTCCCTTGCGTGTATACTTGGCTGTCCAGTGGTGCCACACAGGAAATGTGCATCTGAAATAGTAGTCAATCTGAGTAAATCTAAACAAGGTTATTAGCGGGCGTCTTGTGTCAGTTGTGTCTTAAACTAGCGGTTGGAGACTCACGGATAGGTGGACGAGTTCCAACCATCATCGGTTTGGTACCAGCTTGTGCAAGCTCCCCGTCGAAAGACGGTGCCTTGAAGACTTCTCTGTACCTTGTCCGTCCAGTCGCGCTCAGCATTCTCTTTCACCTCGAAACAACTGACGCGTCCCTCAAGAATGGGTCTGATGAAGTTCAGAGAGTAATTGATGGCATTCTCGACCGCGAAAATGACGCTGGTATGGCCGGTCGCTGTGTTCGGGCCAAACGAAAGGAAGAGATTCGGCATATGGTCCATGGCAATGCCCAGGTAAGCTTGTGCTCCTCCACGCTCCTCCCAAATCTCATCAAGGCTTCTGCCGCGCCGACCGAAAACCGGGAGAGGATGAAGAAATTTATTGGTCTCGTATCCGTTGGCCAGAATAATGACATCCGCCGGTATCTGTCTCACTCCATCTGTTGACTCCGTACTTTCCGGCGGATAATGTCGACCAGGGCCTAATGTCACGCTTCTGGCTTGGACGCCTACCAAGGGCTTCGTCGTCAGCTCAAAATTGGGCGCATGAATGCTGGCATAGTAGTTGGCCTCCACAATTCGTCGCTTACAGCCCAGGCTGTAGTTGGGAGTGAGTATGTCGTGATATTTCTCTGGAGCAGTCGCTCGCATGTGCTCTAGGAGTTTGCTCTCTAATCTGGAACGATTCCGACGGGAATACTCATTGTTCCTGAAGATTTTGATAAATTCCCACTCCAAGAAGAAGAACAGCAAAGCCCTTGCACCGAAAGCAAGACCAGGGACGTTTCTGAACAATCGCGGCGTGTATTTTTCCCATTTCTTGAGCGACGTCGGCGTCAGGAAATCGGGCATGAACCAGGGAGGCGACCTCATGAGCTGCGTGATTGACTTGACCTTGGACTCTGGTTTCGTCAGCTCAGGGACTACCTGGGCTGCACTGCAGCCAGAGCCAATGATGACGACGTGTTTCCCTGACAGATCAATGTCGCTCTTCCATCGAGCTGTATGAACAACCTCGCCTTCGAACGTCTCAATCCCGGGTACATGTGCAGGCCATTTTTTAGGCTCAACAAGCACACCCACACCGCTGACAACGATCTTTGCTCGCACAATCTCTGTTTTGACGTAGACACTGCGCTCGCCTTCTTTGGATATTCGCGCATTTCTTTCCCCTTCGGATAAGTCCCCGGTACTAGGAACAAGATGCAATAACGTGACTTGCCACTCTTCCGCATCCTCTAACCATCGCAGTTCTTTGACAGCTGTGTTGAGTTGAATCTTGTCGACTATCTCGTACTTCTCGCAGACATCAGTCAGGTACTGAACAATCTCCGGTCCGGGGGGATGTAGGGTAGTCCAGTCTTTCTTTGGAGCAAATGAGAAAGAGTACAACAGCGCGGGCCTAATACACACTCAGCAAAAGAGTCGCTTCGACAGAGCATATTTGCCTCAAGAGGTCCATACACATCGCATGCGGCTCCTGGGTAGCGGTTGATCCACCAAGTACCTCCAATACCCGATTGCCTCTCAAAGATTCTGAATTGATCAAAGCCCAGAGCTTCCTTGAGTCGACATCCTGTAGCAATGCCAGACACCCCTGCGCCAATCACGAGAACCGGGTAGTAGGTGTGAGCGTCTTTGGCATACGAATGGCGCTTGTGAATCCTTGCCACCGACGAGGGCATCTTGTCTGATCAGTTGTAATAGATTTGGAGGCACAACCGGGAGATGGCAAGAAAGCATAGAATTTCTGAAAGACTTGGAATGATATGAGGTATAGACAGCAGAGAGGGTTGTCAACTTATGTGGGCCAACATCCTAGGGAGTCTTGGGCTTCCCCAGTATGAACAGCCATACTATTGCAAATTATCATTTATGCAGAGCCGATAATATTGTTAGCATGGATCTCAAATGAGGGGAAGCCAGGATCGACAATGTCACAGGAGCTGAGAGGATCGGTCTCGCCTCGGTTGTTCGGTGGTTTATGACGCTCAGATTTGATCGACCGAGGAAACATCATGCTTTGTGCTCCTCACTCAGTCTAGGGAAAGTCAAGACGACCGTCAACCGAGAAGCATTGCTTTCTCTGGAGCTAGACTGCTAGAGATCATGCGACGTTCGATAATGATGACTTCGAGTGGTCTCGTCATTTTCTCCACAGGAGCAGTCAAAGGTGGAGGGTGATTCGATATGGTCCATGTATGGGACCAGACCTGAAGATCCACAGCACTAGATACCTTAGTTCCCGCGTCAAATGTCACTTTGTGTTCGGGCTGTGTAGCTGGCACAATCCTCTGATTCCGCCTTGTGATACAGATATCTCTTGACCTTCTAAAAAAGTTAACAACTCTCTGAAATCAACCGAAGCGGCAGCATTGGCATAGTTGTTCTGGATGAAGCATCAGCAATGGCTGCTTTCCCGCAATAACCTGTGGGTTCCCAAGCGACCATCACGTGGCGTCGTCAACAACAAACAACTGGGGTCAATATCGTTAATCAGCTCCAGGGATGGACGCTCGATATCTTCAAACTCTCAGAACCGATATCATCCCCTGAAACCCCTCCGCGAGGTTGAAATTGATGAATTCCGCCGTAGTTACTTCCACCCAGAACTTCCGGTCCTTCTCCCTCGTCGGCACTTTCGCGATCTCCCCGCATGTGAGCGATGGTTCCAAACGGTCCCTTCCTCCAACGGCCATGACTGCAGATTAAATACGGCATATCTACAAGAGCATGGTGGAGATGCCTTCGTTCCTCTCGAGCTCACGCAATCGCCCGCAGAAAGTAAGGTGCCGGGCGCAACTGTACCTGAATCGAACGAGCTGAGCTTCCGGCAGTTCCACGCCCCATTGAGTCTGTTCCTAGATTGGATGCGCACCACAGAATTGCAGTCGCAGGCTACGCGACTTTATCTGGCGCAATGCCAGCTACTTGATCTTCCGCCAGTTCTTCGCGATGACTTTCCCACCCCCGCACTCGTTCTAAAGGCGGGCAAAGGGGACGTCTACGATACGAATGTATGGATCGGACACCCGCCTACATATACTCCTTTGCACCGCGACCCGAACCCGAATCTCTTCGTGCAAATCGCCGGACGCAAGGTTGTGCGACTGTTGGCTCCCGATACCGGGCAGAGGGTATTCGCATTAGTCAGGCGCCAAATGGGTCGGAGTGAGGACCGCGCGGCCGCTGCTTTCCGGGGCGAGGAGATGATGCAGGGAGAGGAAAGGACTCTCCTGGAGCAGGCCGTTTGGGATGATGCAGACTCGGACGGTACCAATAATATGCTAGGTGAAGGATACGAAGCTCATTTGGAAACCGGTGACGGGATATTCATACCAAAGGGATGGTGGCATAGCATCAAGGGCGTTGGAGAAGGCGTCACTGCGTCGGTGAGTTTCATCTACCCTCTGTTGAGTGTTTACTGCTCTAACTCAAAACCAGGTAAATTGGTGGTTCCGCTAGAAGAAACTGCAAGGAATCCTTGTAGTCAGATTAACTGTGTCATATTATGCCTGGAAATTTGTTCTGTACATTAAACCTAGATTTAGATAGAAATTCATGATTATATTTGAGCATGGCGCACAGTCATGGTTGGTGTCTCCAAGGCCATTCTAGAATCCTCTCTGCGGATCTCTCCACTTATCTCTCCAGAACGTCAATCTCCGCTATAATTATTCCCTCGTCTCTCAATCTACCGCTCGAAACTCCATTCTCATTGTCCAGAAATGTACACGTCGCTCAAAGCCATATCCCGCGCTACAGTCCTCCATCTCAGTCTTAATCCTCTTCTGTCAATCGGAGTCCGCGCATCGACGGTAACCGCAATATCACCAAACCTCCGCTCATACTCAGCATTATACCCCATCTGCCCCTCCTACAACCTCTACCATCCTACGCAAATCAGCTCAATCCACAATCGCAACCAAGAACATACCTTCTCTACATCCGCGACCATGTCCGCCGACTCTGCCTCCAACGAGAGCCAGTCGCAATACCACCGCCAACCGGAAGAACAGCAGGACCAGGGCCAGGAGCAGGACCAAAACAATCCTATCCTCGCGCTGCCGGAGGCTCCCTCGACAGAATCACAAGCCACGCAGCTCGACGTTAGTGGTGGAGGGTCGACGGTGAAGCTCGACGCTCTGGGTCCGCTGGTGGTTAACCAGGATGGAACGCTGTCGCGGATCGCCAACTGGGAGCAGATGACTGAGATCGAGAGGCGGAATACACTGCGTGTGCTCGGCAAGCGGAATAAACTACGGTTAGATACGTTAAAGGCGGCAGAGGGTGAGAAGGACGAGGGCAAATGATTGACTGCATACGGCGTTTTCAATGGTCTATTAGATGATACATTTCATGTCTATATTGTACTATACTGTAGATTTTTCCGGGATGCTCGCATGGCTCTTTGTACATTTTCTCTCACCAAACATATCCTCATGCCAATCGTAATATAATCGTGACAACACCCAGACATACAATATTGCAACATCTAGGGCGGGCGGGTCTATAACAGGTCGCCTAAGCGAAAAGCCAATCAGAGAACCTCGAGAGGGCGTTGCTAAATGCGTAAATCAGTCAGCCAGCTCGCGAATATTCGGGTCGTCGACAGGATCACCCTTACCTTGGCTTTTCGGGAATGTAGTTTCTCTCGTACTCCTCGATCTCATCGAGTCCTGTCACGAGATCAACCTCTTCCGGCTTCTTCGTCTTTGTGCGGTTTACAATCTTCCAACTGCAGTACAGGACTGGAAACACTCCAATCATCGTATAAGAGAAGAGGAAGGTCGGGACATCCCAATTCCCAGGCAGAAAGACCGTATAGCCGCCTACAAATGCCATGACTGTTGTACAAACCAGGGCAACATAGGCAGTATAGGGTTGCCACCAACTCCTGTATGGGAGCGATTCGCGTGGAATGCCTTGGGCTATTATAGCTTTCCGGAAACGTGTATAGGTAAAAGTGATGACAGAGAAGTTGATAAGCTGAGAAGCAGTTACCTACCAACTGTTAGAGATGTTTTTTTTCTTTTCTTCGAATAGAAAGCCAGGGTGATCCTAGTCTTGTACGCGACACGTACCAGATTAACGAACCAATCTAGGACGACAGATGCGCTGTTTGACACTTGGAGGAAGGCAAGAAGTGCAATCAGCATAACAACTGAGACACAGTATATTGGTACACCCCGCTTGGTGCACTTAGTGAACAGTCGTGGCGCCTTGCCATCTAGAGCAAGCCCGTACAGACTTCTGCTGGCGCAATAAACATAACTATTCCCTGCACTGAAAGCTGCTAGTAGGATCATGGCGTTGACAATGTGCGGGAGGATAGGGATCCCGAGCCTGTCCATCGCGATAACATAAGGCGACGCAGCGGCGCCAGGCATGCCCTTGGCGAAGGCTTCGGCCATAGTAGGATCATTGTAGGGAACAAGAATGCCGATACAAAGTACACCCAGAACGAAGAAAGCTGTGAGTCGATAGAATATACCGTTATACGTCCTGGGCAAGACTCCGCGAGGGTTGGCTGCTTCTCCAGCTGCCATCGACACATAATCGGGTCCTGCAATGGTGAAACTGGCCTGGATCAGGCATGCAAGGAAACCAAGCCATCGGCCAAGGTCACCCGTCTTGTAATATTCTGCAAAGGCGCCCGGCTCGTTCCAGTATCTGAATCCGAATCGATCTCCCTTCGGGTTCCCGCCCAGCATCACAATGAATGTGAAGATAATCAAGCCAATGCTGAGTAATACTTTCGAAAGAGCAAGCCAAAACTCGGATTCGCCGTACCATTGCACTGCAAAGACGTTGAGAAGTCTATCATGCTAGGAGTCAGCATTCAGGCGATTCAAGATTGGGCAGGGGGCTTCGTCGTTCAGAAGATGTTACGTACATGTAAAGGACAAGCACGATGACGATAACCCCGCTCACTGGAATAACGTCGCTCCAGTAGTTTATGATCATATTACACGCGGTGATCTCAAAGGGCACTAGGGCAGCTTCAAAAATGAAGAAGTTGTAGCCGGCGGCAACTCCAAAGGCCTCATCGACATAGCGGCCCGCAAATCGAATAAAGGGTGATGAGATTGGCAGGTAGGTAACCATCTCAGCCAGACCTAGGATGCAATCTGTATTTAGCATGGACTACATAGCCACGTTCTTGTAGTGTAGAATAGCCAGGGAGTCGCATGGGCAGCATGAAGGGAAGCGGGAGATTGTCGCTTCAGGGCACTCAATGGTACGAATGGGGAGAGCTGCATCTGGAACGCAGGTTGCAGGCGGCATTGCTGGGGAGAGCAATTTGGGGCTTGGAGACTGGGGTTGCGTACAAACGGTAATAGCCAGGATGACGAAACACCTAGAAGTAGATATGTATAAGATTTCATGGCTTGATAAAAAGGGCATTCAAGTAAGGAGCGCGTGCGAAGTATGACACTGTTCTGCATTAAAGCGCAATTTGAGCTTCCGGGCTTCTTCGTCGTATTTTCTCAACATCAACTCGTTGCGAACATTCTCATGCCGGCTCGCGCAAAATATATTGCTTCTCCTTCCTAGCCATGAGCTCACCCAGTGGAGACACAGGACCAAGATCGCAACAACAAAAAGAAACATATAAAGGGAAAAGAGCTAATCAAATCAGGCACGAAGAGCTTACCAAATCGAAAATGCCAGGAACAGACTGCCAGGGCCACCCTTCATCAAACTTTTACCGACCTGGACATAGAGAGCAGTACCAATAGTACCCCCGATACCGATAAGCTGAATGTGTCTGGGCTTCAGCTTCCGGTGCGTATGATCATAAGTGGGCTTCGACGATGCGCCTCCTATTGATTCTCCACCATCCTCGATAACAGTAGTCTTCTCAGTGTAAGTCGTAGGACAGCCATTTCTTTTGTTCAAATGGGCAGTGGACAATTTGCCGTCGTTGGTCGAGTGGGATCGATCATTGCTGATAGCCGTCGTTAATGATGTCTGTTGGACGCCCACGTCTGGCTTGGGGTTCGACATAATTCACGACAAGTGATAAGGATTTTGTTTCATCGATACATCCTAGGCATAGAGGCGATTGGAAAAGGGCGACGTAAAGTGCAATGTATAGAGCAGGGGAAAAGAAAAAAGGTGATCCAAGAAGCCAAGAAGGAAAAAAAGAGGGAAAAAAGAAAAAGAGTAAAAAAGAATAAATTCAAGTAGATTGAGAAACGCAAGACTGACGCATTGAGCAATTAGAGTAAAAGCCCATGTGCGAGATTAAAATGCGGGACACTCTGAAGATGCTAAATCAGCTAGGCCAAAGCCGGCATCAAAGTAGTATCACCAACAACCAAAACGAGAGTGATTTCACCTCGGCCAATTTCTCGCCCAATGAAAGACAGAGAGGCTTCACTATTATTGCCCCCTGCCTTTGTGGTAAGGCGAATAAGGATGGATCAGTACTGATGGCAGCAAAACATCGGCCTGGAATAGGTGGTCTGAAGCCACTTTGAGGACTGCATGAAGTCCCCACAGGCTTAGTCCCCATAGAAATCGACGTGTCTGACCTTGGAGGTACTGATAGACATTTCCGGTCCATCATACATCAACGCTGTAGGAAGAATTCCAGCATCTCTCCCCCTCTCTCCGCCTGAGCTCAACAATGCCGAGCGTAGTAGCAGGACGGAGTGGCTGTTCGTAACTCTTGGAAAGTCATGGCAGAGGCAAACGGAGGGCAATAGAGGGAAATCGTCAAGACGCAGTTAAATTGATGGAGGGGCATGGGATGCAACAAGAACACTGTGCCTGTTTGAGCTAGTAAAGGTAACTAGGAGGCTGAGATTAGTTTAACTGATCCACTATATCAGAGCAGTGTGGGCCATCTCTTGGGGAGAAGTAGTCACCTCATTTTTGCCGAGGTTCAAGTGGGTTCCGAAAGAAGAGCTATTGAAGAGTAGGACAAAGCACTAGATAATGATCATAGATTTCATGAAGTTATGGCACAGTACCTGCGAATACCGACCGAGAATGATAATTTTTGACCCTGATGCGAGTAGCAACATTGACATGCGATGGCATGGTACCTCATCACAATGTGCCTGAATCAACTACCAGATTAGCATCAGCCACTGCATCAAACCGTTGACTTCAATTTCGACCGCAAAATGAGAAGAAGAACCTATGAAAACATGGCTACTTCTTCAGAAGAAAAATATTATTTGTCATTAATTGATACTAGAAGCTAGTCACATAAAATTCGTCTGCTTTTGGACCCTTTGCTGAACAAGTAACATGAAGCGCCCATCCTTCTCCCGCATTTAGAAAAGAACAGCTGACATAATCTCGCAATCTGAAAATTATGAAGGCATAGATTATATCTTCAGTCTGATCGATCATCATCCAAGCCTGGTAAGAGTCGGAACGGAGAAACAACGAGGTCTGCCAAAAACCCAGGACTCAGGTCTGAACAGACGAATCCACGTATGGACCGTGACTCCGATCCTTTCCATCCGGCGATGGCTTCTCTCCGAGTTCGCTAGGTGGGAAAAAGCAATCGTTGTCTTCGAAGTAGAGATAGTGAGACATATCGGAGTCCACGGAAATCGTCCTACTCCGCCCTTGAGCATCCGGCCCAGTTTCTGTAGATGACATACGATTCGAGGATCGAGAAGGTGTTGTTTGTAAAGTACTGGAAAGGGTTTCCTGGCAAGAGGACATTTCGCTCATATCGCTCTTGAGAACTATAGCAATAATAGTATGACAGGTAAAAGCTTTGAGCCGAAGCTGATGATCTCTCCGATGTCAAAAAGCTACTTGAGGTTGCCCCGCATTGTACAAAGATGAAAGAACAAGTGGACATCAGCTAATGTGTATCTATCCAATATTACGCTCATGACACAACTCATCAATAAATACCTCTTTAAGTGGAAATGCGCCCATCCATGCCAGTTGACGTCATCTTCAGAGGCAACGGGTGATTGCCTCTAGGCAAATCAAGTATGCCTAGACATACATTGACGAGATATATAGTGGCGCTTTCATTCTTTCAAATGATTTAATTGTCTTCACTACCCTGAGAATTCTGTAAGGTCTCTTCAAAGAGAACAGTATATGGGGATTTATCTTTGGAAGAAAGCAGCCAGGCTTCCGCAGGGGTCATCCTCCGGTTATAGTATTTCCAAAGGAGGAATGAAATATCTCCTCATCAGAGGCAATACAAAGCGGAATCATTAGCATATGCAGGTGTATCGAAAAGTTGGGATCATAGATCCATCTACTTCGGAGCGAGGGGTAGGTTGGTGCAAATCGAATCACCTAGGCCGTCTAGATTCCTACTGCGTAACATATCAAAATTTCAGCCAAAGAGATAGCCGAGTCGGCTCTCCAGGGCTCAGGCTGTCAACCTGAGTATTGATTGATCTCCTTTGCTTCCACTTAATCTCAGAAAGGAGGACTGATTTTCCCGATTGAATCTCGAGAGAGAATTGAGCCGGGTGATGTACTGTCGACGATGGAATGCAGACAGCTCACTGTCACAAGGCCCGACGCTTGATTCTGGTTCATTTACGAAGTACATTAAAGGTCTACAGAAGTTAGCTACAATAGTACTTGCATAGCCATGCGCTTGAAGAGGTCTTGATGCTGCTCGATGATGAGCCAATAAAAGAAGCAGCAAAGAGAGTTTCCAACAATCACAGACGATGACGCCAGTTGCCGGCAAGATCCACGGTTATGCCGACCTCCGAGCTCCCCCGCCTGCCCCGCATACAAGTAAGCTCTCGCGGGCTAAACTTCAACTTTTCTTACTTCGTTTACCTTCTTCTAATAGTATCCTTCCCACACTCGAAGTCTCCAAGCATACAATCACAATGGTGGAACACGAGCCGGAACCCAAGCGCTTCGAACCCAAAGTCCCTGTTCAGCTGGATCCTCCAAAGGATGACCCGATCACAGTGGAGGAATTGTCCAAATGCGACGGTATGTGATTCCTTGGTTGGATTCACCAATGATGAAATTCAACTTACTGATGCGCTTTTTGCAGGCACGGATCTCAGCCGCCCAACTCTCGTCGCAATCAAGGGGATTGTTTTTGATGTGAGCAAAAATCCTGCTTATGGCCCCAATGGCCAGTATCACGGTAAGTCGATTCTCCCCTTTCCCATGCGCTGCAAAACAAGTGCTGGCTTGGTCTGTACATGGCGTTATTGATTCCTCTCCATAGTTTTCGCTGGAAAGGATCCTTCCCGAGCCCTTGCCTGCTCATCTCTGAAGCCTGAGGATTGCAGGCCGGATTGGTATGATTTGGATGATAAGGAGAAGACGGTGTTGAGTGAATGGTTTACCTTCTTCAGCAAGAGATACAATATTGTCGGAAAGGTGAAGGATGCTACAAACTACTAGGGCGCCTGATGACAACCTACGGTCAGTAACGGCGCTGGGTTATGCTATTGTATGAAGGTACTATACCCCATGAATTCATGAAATCGTACGCGATATTTTCCATTGCCAATTCGGACAATATAACAAATGCTTTTATTTTTGCTTCTTTCGCCTGGATGCATCCAAGTAACGCCGGGGAATAGAGATAATTACAAATAGAGCTCTATACAGCCACCTTTGATCAATCCCACTAAGCCTTCCCTTTTCGAGCTTTCCGCTGCATCCTCTTTCTAGAAATGATCCGATTGCGTTTGGCGAGCTTGTTCTCGTCTTCCGCGTCGTGGTCTCCGTCCTGCTCCTTGCCGCTGCCACGGCTTTCGGATCGCTTCCGCTTCTTGTCATTGGGAAAAGCTTTGCTGTTCGAATCATCTTTGCTCGGGGTATTTCCGTCGTTCTGATGACTTTCCTTCTTGGCGCGTGCCCTGGCCTCCATCTCATTCCTTCGTTTAACAACCTGGGCGTTCTCAAGGGCGAACTCGACGATCAGTCGCTTCTTCTTATCTTTGATGTCCGCCGACCCGCTCTTAGGGGCTTCCACAGCATGACCGTTAAGCCATCTTAGACCCATAAGCGCATGTCGATGTGTGTAGTACTCGATGAAACCGTAGCCCCGGCTTCGGCCTGCTCCGCTGTTCTCGCTGATCTTGGATCCCTCTCGACTCTCATAAACAATTTTGGTTTGCTTCACAATACCTTTGCCCTTTGACTTCCGGTACTGCTCTGCCTCCTTCATAGCGTCGGCTGATCGTGTGAGTTCCTCTTTGGAGAGAGGCTGACGTTGACCTTCCTTGACATCTTTGGCGAAGCCGACCACAGCCTGTCGAGCAAGCTGCTTGAGGTCCTTGGAGGTGACGTGACGTGGGATATTGCGTACCGAGAGACGGGTCAAACTGAAATGTAGAGCCGGGTTCTTCCGGATAAAGTTCTGTCGTTGCTTGAAGCTGTCCTCTCTCATCTTGATCTCGGACGGCGAAAGCTTCTGGTACAGAGAAGAGTTGGGAGAGATAGTACCTTCTGACAAGAGGAAAAGACGGCGCTTGTCAGTATCACGAACCAGTCGATTTGATACACCCTCCTCTTCCAGGCGTGTCGCTTGTGATTTGCTCACGGCGCGGGCGACTTGGAGCACACGGCCGTCTAAGGTATAGCGGCCGCTGGGGTCAGAACTCTCATTCTGCAGAATAGAGTGCTTGAGTGCGGTGGAAGACTTCTTCCCTTTGTCCTTCTCCGCAATCAAAGTATCTTGTTGTTTCGGGGCTTCGCGCACGCACAATGCGGCATCCTCAACCTTCCAGAAGCAAACAAAGCCGGTACCACGGGGACGTTCTGTTTCCGGGTCGACGACAATTCGCGCGTATCGAAGGGGCCCGAACTGCGTAAAGTGCTCGTAAAGCGTCTCGTCTGTACATGTGAAGGGTAGATTCCGAATGAAAATCGTACACGCATTTCGCTCGTCTTCTTTCTCTTCTCTTTCGTCTTCGTCCTCGTCATCATCCATATCTTCCTCGTCTTCCTCGTCCACCTCGTCGTCATCGTCCATATCCCCCTCATCATCATCATCGTCGTCATCAGACTCGATATCTCCATTATCGGATGCCGCTTCCGCGTCATCTGCCATTTCAACGTCGCTCGATCCCGCTTCCTCCTGGGTCTCCTCCTTCTTCTCAGAGTCCTTCTTCAAGTTCTCCCATACTTCCTTATCTACAGCCCAATCGACCGCCAGCGTTCTTCCGTCCACCTCTTTGCCGTTGACGGCCTGCAGTGCCTTTTCGGCATTCTTCTTTCCTCGTAAAACGACGAAGCCGAACCCTGCCAGCTGATCACCTTTCTTGGGAAGCGTGACATATTTAACTTTGCCGAAGCTTCTGAAATGTACCGCTAGATCTTCTGGTTCTTTGATGCTCCAAGGCAAGTTTCGGACAATGAGCTTCGGGGGTTGGGTAGCTTCTTTCTGTTGCTCCCGCTGTTTCTTAAGCTCAAGGGCAGCAGGAGCTGGCACACTTTTGCCGAGATTCTCATCAATCTCACGGTGACGCGGCTGAGCGTAGCCGACTCTGATTTTTTTCCCTTCGAAGACGGACCCGTTGAGCTCCTTTACCGCAGCTTGCGCGTCCTCGAGATCGGCAAACGTGACGAAACCATAACCCTTGCACTGCTTCGTTTCTGGATCATTAACAACAGTTGCATGCTTGATAACGTAGGATTGGGAGAAGTATTCAGTAAGGCTCTCGGTCGTGGCTGAGGTGGGAAGCGACCGAATGAAGAGGGTCCTTCTTGGCTGCGTGGAGACTTTGTCGCCCTGAACTTTATCTTTTGTTGGGGATTCCATCGTAGTCTGTGTGTCTTGGTGACCACCACTATTTTCGCCCAAAGTTCCTTTCTTATGTTGCTCTGTCATGGCTGTTGAGATCGTCCACTTTTTTCTTTGGCCTTTTTTTCTGTAGCGGCAGAAAATTCCCAGCGTCAATATTTCCAGCGACAAAGCGAGTCCAGGCGGTGAGCACAACTGGCCCGAACGTTGGCTGCTGCGATTAGATAGACCGAACCGAACCGATAACAGCACTACTCGAAGCCTTCAGGTTGACGCAAAAATGGCTAGGGACGTTGATGCTGATAACACAGATTCCGACTATGGTCCCCTTGAAGGGAGCGCCACCCCTGGAGCTGCAGGGACCACCTTGAATTCAGCTACTGCTCAATCCACGGCCCCGAAGGTCCAGCAACCAAAACCGCAGGCGCTTACCAACAGAGCAGGTCCCTCAGCCATTCTTGTTTCGACCAGGCAAAAGGGCAACCCAATACTGAACCACATCAAATTGTTGCCTTGGGAGTATGCAGATATACCGGCCGACTATGTTGTTGGATCAACCACTTGTGCCCTGTTCTTATCGTTGAAATATCATCGATTACATCCAGAGTACATATACTCCCGGATAAAGGCTCTTGGGGGTAAATACATGCTCCGGATTATTCTGGTCATGGTCGATATCGCAAACCACGAAGACAGTTTGAAGGAACTCGCAAAGACCTCGATCATCAATAATTACACTCTAATGCTCTGCTGGTCAGCTCCGGAAGCAGCTCACTACCTCGAACTTTACAAGTCGTCCGAAAATGCTCAACCGACCGCGATTCGCACCCAGCAAGCCCAGACTTACAAGGAGTCTCTGGTGGAATTCGTTACAACTCCCAGGAGTATTAACAAATCTGATGCAGCGAGTCTGATATCCACCTTCGGGAGTCTACAAAATGCTATCAACGCGCAGCCGGAACAGATCAGTGCTGTACCCGGCTGGGGCGAAAAGAAAGTTCGTCAATGGAGCACTGCAGTCAGGGAAGACTTTCGGGTGGAAAATGCGAGGAAAGCGACGGCACCTAAGAGGAACATTGAGCCTGAACAACCCAGATCTTCGGGCCTCGGCACTGTGAGCAGTACAGGGCCTGTAGATATGGATGATGATTATGAAGCAGCCTTGTACCTTTCGGAAGCGGAACAGGGGAGTCGGGTGGAGGCGCAAAAAGGAGCCTCTGAAGTCGACACTCCACAGCAATCCAATGAAGAGGAGATGAGTGAAGGCATTAGCGCAGCCCTTGCGCGGCTTCGGGAAAACGGAGGCTGAATATTTGATTGATTGATGAACACTATGATTGTCAATTGCGATATCTTGGAAGGCTTCACCACATAGGATGGTCTAGGAGACAGCAGGCTTTCAATCCGTCCCGCGAGGATGCTATCATCACAGTACTGAAAGTTACAGCGTTCAGTCTGCCCGAGGCAGTAGAACTGATTTGCGGACGGGCTGGCCGACTGAGCGCATAGCGCTATCGGTCTCGAAAGCAAAGCTCACTCAACCGCTACAATGAGGTTACTTTCAATAAATTTTCGCATAGCTTCCTATCAGCTGCGCATACTAATACTAGGAAGCATCCGTCCCTGACCATGAATGGCCGGTCTTACGCGAGGTTCTGAACCTTGATGGCTTGGGCCCTCAGGCTATCTGTCAGCGGGATGGGCCGACATAGTGTTGTGGAATCCAGGGCATTGGGAGGCCAGTCAGCCACTGAGAATCAATACCGCAGGCAGCGAACTGTAGTGGAGCTATGCACCTCGTGTTTCATGATTCAAGAATCGTGTTGAATTATCATTCTATAATGCTCGACCAGAACCCGGATCAAGAAGGCTTAATTAAATGACAATGAATGAGCGTATTCGAGAAGACTTGCGCGCATTAATGATAATTCGATTCATTTACTTCTAGACAGCTAGTCTGCTCCAGAAAACGGCTCGATATTATGGAGGATCCGCTGAGTCAGGTCCCTTGGTTCGATTATCACGTGATGGTAGAGTGTGGGGCACTATAGCCCAAAATGGAAATCGGGATGACGCCAAACATTGGAGTTGTGCAATTTCCTGTTGAACTAGTCTAGATCACTTCTGTTCTTCAGATGGACCAGCGGATTCAGACCAACGCCCCAATGAAAGCCAGCGTGTAACGAACGTTGCTTAAGTGTCCGAGCAGCGAGTCAGTGTTCTCCACTGACAAGCCGGACAAGATCTTCCCCACTCTATCGCTTATAAGGTTGAACTGTACTATCATCCTACTCGCCTGGCCAAGGCTGGATCATGAGATGACGGGAGAGGAGGATAACACGAATGCATCCTCCAAAAGACAGCCTTATCAGGATGCGCCAATTTCAAATGAAGCCGGCCTTTCGGGTGCTCTAGCTGTGCGCCGGTCGCCTGGTCGTCATGCAGGGGATATAACAGGATCATCGAGGAACCCGCCTCCTAGGGCAGTTCAGCAAGCACAGAACCCGCAGTCCAAAAACTTCGAGATTGTCCTCGTTACAGATAACGAGTCACGGCGTCAGGTCCGCCGCCATGCAATGCGGCAATATATGCGTCAGCGGCGCTTGGACAGCATTGCTCGACTGGAGACGCCTCGGTTGCCAATTGGCGG